TATATGTAACCAATTTGTGTGTGTGTGTCTCTGTGTTTTCTATCATTCTTGCTGTCTCCCCACACACACACCCAGAGAGAAAAAGACGGGCACAGAGAATGGTATACAGCGCCCCCCCAATATGCACGGGGGGGGATCTGTGTGTGTGGCGTTGAGATCTCTCCCACTCTCTCTTCCACCCTCATCTATAATCTGGTGCATATATATATATGTGTGTGTGTGTATCTACCTTGATATATATTCCCTGTCTGTGTATATGGAGAGAGCACAAGGGATCCCAGCCTTCCCCGCCCCCCAACTCATGCACAGATATCCCCATATCCACCTCTACCTAGAATTTATTTAAATATTTATTTATGAGCCTGTATTTTCTTTCATTCTCTCTCCCTGCCTCCCTCCCTCCCTGCTTTCCTTTCTGAAATGTAAAAATAGCTAAACTACACACACACACCCGCATGTATATCACTTGGTTTTATATATAAAGCATAGAAATATATAAATAATAAATAAATATATTTTAAAAATATAAAAAATATATAAACAACACACACTAATTGTATAAATCTAAAAAATAAAGTAGGGGGTATCTGTGTGTAGTCAGAGAGACAGAGGAAAACAGCACACATGCAGACTTACAAATACAAGCATGTAAGTATAAAATAATTTAAAACGTGTCTGACTGTGTATGATCATCTCTGTCTCTCTGTATATGGGGTGATTGATAGATAATACATAGACATACACACATTTGTATGTGTCTATAGCTATACATTTTTTATTTAAATGTTTTTATGTAAAGATATAAATAAGATATATATGAGAGTACCATATCCACGTGTGAGATAATTTTTTCCTCTTTCTCTGAATATATACAGGTATATGAAGAAATAAATACTTTATGCTGCATCTGGGTACATTGCTAAGCCTGCAACCACCTATGTCTCATAAACAGAAACCTGTAACTGAACTCACTTGTGCTCTCTGTCTCCGAGCCTTGGGATGGGTGTCCCTGTAAGTATAATATAGCAACATCCACACACGCACGCACTCCGCGTCCACGCTGTCTCCTCTGTGCTCCGTTGCTCTCTAGCTCACAAAAGATGTCACGATGAATATATCCCTATACACATTACTACCTGGGTAAATGCGTTTGACTATGCAAACCACATACACACAAATATTTAGCTAAAAATATTTGTGTGTACCTATAGAACCCTGATCATACTTCTGTGCTTGTAGCACATGCTTCCCTACGAGCACCCCGGGGTGCGCATGGGGTGGGGGGGTCCGTGCTCTCCCAGGTGCTGCAGCCCCGGCCGCACGCCTGGGTCATGGGACGAGGGCAGGTTGTGGTGCAGGACTCGTCCAGCCCCCAACGCCCACCCAAGCGCTGCTGCCAAGGCACATGCCGAGCTTTCCTGCCCCAGGCTTCACAGCTTGGCCTTTAATTTCTTTGATGCTACCCCCCCCTCCCCCCAGCCCCTGCAGCATAGATGCGGTTGTGCGATTCCCCAGCTTTGGTGTTTGCACCAGCATCTCACAAAACACAGCTGCCCTCGCCAACGGCTCCAACCCCTCCAAGCCACCGAGCCCCACACCTGGCTGCCCTGCCACAACCTCCCGCGGTTTTACCCACTGGCAAGGGCCAGGATCACCCCACTCTCCAAACTCCAGGCGCTGGTTGTTGCTATCACCTATTACACTGGGTATGGACGGGGGAACCGACCCGCTCCCACCAGCCAGCCTCCTTCTTCAGGTCTGTGCCTCCTGCCTGGCCAGGACCTGGATGAAGAGCAAAACCAGCCTTGATGCTTGGCTGCCTCAGTGCATCAGCTGAACCCCTCAGCCTCTTCCAGGGCGAGGTTTCCTCAGGGGTTTGCCCAGCAGCAAGTCACCCTTGCACGCATCATCAGGCAAAAAGGTCAGCACAGAAGGAAAAGCCTCATTGACACTAGGAGTGGGTTTAAGTACACTTGTACCCCACAGGGACAATCAGTGCAGCCACCTTCTCCAGGCCCAGGCTTCTTCAGGCCACAGTGATGACAAGTGATTCTCGCAGGAGCACCCATCCCCCCCCGGGACACCATCAGCCCCGAAGGTAAGAGCAGGGCACCAATTCCCACGCTGCTTGCCTTCTGCACTGCTTTTTGTACACTTGTGTGTGTATATAACATATTCCCACCTGCAAATACATTGGTTCATCAGTGGTAAAGGGAATCCTCCCCTTCAGCATCCATAACACCCTGTGGCTGTCCTACCCCCTGTGAAACACTCTCCCTTTGCCTCACATCACTACCAGTTTATTTGATGGGAGAGAAATAAAACAGCATCTCTTCAGGGCCCAGCCACAGCTTGCAGCCCTCCCAGCCTCAGCTCCATCACCCAAAGCCAAAGCAGCAGGAGGCAGGTGCAGAATTAAGGCCATCCCCTTCCCCCAAAACATCACTGTGTAGTTATTGCTCCCCCCTTGCCCAGCTTGGCTTTCTCCACACTAGAGCTGTATCTAAAGAAAACAAGTACAGAGTGAGTGATGCTTTAAATGGAGATGAGCAGAAAGTCCAAGTCTTTCAAAAAGATGCAGACAGGAAAGTGGTCCCACCAGGAGACATTGCTATTGCAGGCTAGTTATTTGAAACTGATGGAGACAGCAAAAGCCCAGCCAAGTGAGAGAAAAGCATGCTAGGACAGAGCCATAAAATAGGATATAGAGCACAAAGACTGTTAGAATGCTCTTGAAATAACTGGCCTCATTTCTCTATACTTTGTTTTCCATCTTCCTGTGGGCACAGGAGTAGCAATTTAGCCTTGCTGAGTGCAAGCAGAGGGTCATGCCCAGCATCTGGAAATTAAAGGCTTAAACTTGACTAGGCTAGAGTAAGGAGAAGTCCTTAACTCACTCTAAGGTACTCTAGGCCAGCCTTGCTTCTCCTCCAGCTGAAGCACCTAACTGGTGAGCTGGGAATGACTCAGCCTGCTCCCAGTAGGAGGGTAGCAAGAGCTTTTAAAGCACTGCCCTCCTCTCCATCCTTCCACAAAGCTTTTCCTAGGCCCAGAACAGGGCTGAAGAACCATGCTCATAGAAGAGCAATCACACCCAGCACCATTCCTGCCACTGCAACCAGCTTCAAGAAAAGCAGAGGGGTTGCTGCCCTACAGCAATCTTGGGTCAGCCAAGCAAGCAGGGCCTCCTCAACCCACTCCTGAAAAATAACATGGAAGGCACAGACTTTATAGTAAGGAGGAAGCACAAACCTCCTTCAATTAGCAGGCACTGGCTTGCTGAAATGGTGACAAGACAGAGGAAAGAAAGCATGTTAGTGAAGAAAAAAAAAAGTCAGAAACAGGAGTAAACAAGAAGGTTTGTTCTTGTTAAGTTTATTGGCATCATGTTTGTCTCTTTACATAAGAGCTCAGCCTACGTACTAGAATGTAGACCTCTGGAAAACAGGTAGAAGGGCTCCATTTAAGCAAGCTACAAACGCAAGAACAAATACCAAGGAGAAAGGAAGAGAGGAAAGGGACTAGATTGCCAAGTTTTTCCATACCAAAAATCCAGATTAGCAGTCAGTAAGAAGAAAGGGAAGATTCATAGTCCAGGTCATTCATCAAGAAACAGCTACCACAACCCAGGTGGGAGAGGAGCTCCTTCCACAGCACAGAGAGCCACAGGGACACCTCAGCTCTGGTTCCTTCTCAGACTCGCTCCAGGATATTAGGAGTTAAGCAGTAGGGGAGGTGAACAAATGAGGTCATTTCATAGCTGTATTTAATTTTAAATCCAATAATCCAGTGTGCATATCAATGCTGTTATGCAAATCTGGGAATTTAGATACAAGGAAGCCAGACAGATTTTCCAGAAGATGAAGCCTTTTGGGCCTCAAAACAAGAAGGCTTACATAGTTCATCTCTACTGTACAGAATACTGCCTCTATCTGGACTTTGTGTTGCTAGCACGCTGCAGTTCACAAGTGTCCTCCTCACTTTCTACACAATCTGTGTTTCAGTACTTGAACATGTAATTCAGGAATTTTACACTAATTTATACATTTTTAATTGGTTGCATATATTAACATGTACTATAAGATTTTTCCTAAAGAAGCATTACATAATACATGGATACTGTAAAAAGATCTGATTAGTTAAAAGTAACAAGCATTAACAGAGATACATACAAAACTCAACCTAGTTGGACTGAGTGCTGAGCTTGCAATGAACTATGGGTAATCAGCCTTTCCAGTTGCAGCCTTCACAGGGGAAAACACGAGACAGTTAAAAATGTATGTAACTTGTTACACAGATTACCTGTAAACAGTTTCTCTCCATTGGACACCTGGAATTAAGATTCAGTTCCAAACATACATAAGAGTTTCCATTTTAAACTAAGAGAAAGGTCTGTTACCATGAAGTGTGATGTGGATGGTGTGGGGACGTGAGCTCTGAAGTGTGGGACTCACAGATGCTCATGGGAGATGGGTGGATTTTGGCAGCTGGAGATGGAATTTTTTTTTAATTTCGTTTTAAACACAGAAGAGGGGCTGTGTGTTTGAAGGCCTAAGTGTGATATTCGTTTGTGAAGGACTGTGCTCAACCCCTCCCTCTCCCCTCAGCAGCTGCAGGTTTCCGCAGAAGCCTTCACTCGGTCATTCTTGTCTAGTTTGATGGGTTCAGGGAATTCATTGTAAAGCTCCACTTCGGTTTCCTAGTGGGAGAGAAGGGAGGAGTTAGTGCCACAGCTCTACAGACAGCTCCTAGTATGCAAGGAGCCATTCTCAGCTGGGGAAAGCTGTTGGCAAGCCCAAGGCTGCCCACAGCAGCTGAGCTCAGCTGGCAAGACTGGCACCAGCAGAGGGCACCCACTGGCCCCCTCCCTACCTGTTTAAGTGCATTTCGTGCAATCGTCTGGAAAGCTTGTTCCACATTAATGGCCTCCTTGGCACTGGTTTCAAAGTAGGGGATGTTGTTTTTACTGTAGCACCAGGCTTGCGCCCGTTTTGTGGTGACCTGGGTGGACAGAGAGCAGCATCACCACCTTCAGCCATGGGGGAAGGGGGTTTTATTTCCAGGGCAAGGCCAGAGACCCCTCATATCCAACCTGAGCTAAGACAGCAGTTCTTACAGAGCACAGGAGACTGCTGCCCACCACGGGATACACTCAGCCCCGGGGCAAGGAGCACCATGCCTAAGGAGGGTAAGACCACAGGGCAGACTGTTCAGGCAGCACAGAGCAAGGACTTGCTCCCATAGGAGCCCCTCAGCAATTCTGGAGGAGGAGAATCAGCTTCTCTCCTTGTAGCTACCCAGGAAGCTGCTGCAATCCTTCCACCAGTGGGCAGGAGCATGCTGTGTGCAGGGCTTTGACCTCTCCAGGCAGGAGAAACTCTTCCCCAGTGGCAGGGAACAGCTGAACCACACTCCAGCACCTCCCACTCCTGTTTCTCAGATAACCCTCCTGTATTCCTACAAGGTCTCCACTCCATCAGTTTCCCAAGAGGAGGCTAGCAAGTCCCAGTACTCACTTGTCTGTTTTCTAGGTCAATCTTGTTTCCCAGCACAACAAAAGGAAAGTTCTCAGGATCCCTTGGACTGGCCTGAATGAGGAATTCGTCCCTCCAGCTGTCTAGGGTTTTGAATGTGTTGGGGGCTGTGACATCAAACACCAGCACACAGCAGTCCGCTCCCCTGTAGAAGGCAACTCCCAGAGACTGAAATCGTTCTTGTCCTGCTGTATCCCATATCTGGAGCAAAAGACAGGGCAGATAAGCCAGCTCTACTCTGACATAGCCAGTCTGCAATTAGGGCATTCATTTCAAAACTCCTCACCAGGCACCTATAGCCCCCAGCTAGCCAGAGAGAAGCACCTGAAGGCTTGGGAATTTCTGTAGGCATTAAGTATAGAAGGGTGTTCCGGGCTCTTGAAAAATAGTTAGCTCTTTTTGTGTTCAGCCTCAGCAAGGGATGTATCCTTGTTCCAGGCAAGCAGGACTTGGGTATTAGGGCCAGTAGGTGACCTGCCTGCAGTGTTTAGGTACACTTGGGTACCAGCACAGTCAAAACACTCCTCTGACAGTTGCAACAGGGCTTTTGCTGCCTTGCAGGCAGCCTCACTATGGAGAGATGAAAGCTTCAGATACTAGAGATTAAGCAGGCTGGCAGGTTAACACAGTACCCACAGGACTCAGGGCAGCACAAGTAGTTGACCTGACTAAGGAATCCTTTCCCAGGCCTCTTCCAGTCCTGAACACTAGGGAAGTGCATCTTTCTAATAAGATCTAGTTTACTGACAGTACTAAATGCTGGGTTTTAAACTGGGCCTGGAAAACCTGCTCTTAGCTGAGCCCAAATTGATCTCTGCCTTCCCTTGTTCAGCCCATGGACAGATCTGTAGGAAAGCCCAGCAGCACCTATGGCCCTGAGCAGTTCAGTGCAAACAAGATTCACACCCAGTACACTGACCTTGCACTGCTCTGGACTACACTGGAGCAGATAATTCCACACAAGTGTGGTCTAAGCAGCCGGGCACCCCTTGCAGCAGGGAGCAGAGTCACTCCTTACCTGCATTGTCACTAGCCTGTCATCCACCATGACCTCTTTTGTCAGGAAGTCTGCACCTATCGTAGCCTTGTACTGGTTACTGAATTTCTTGTTCACATACTGGTTCATAAGTGATGTCTTTCCCACCCTGTAAAGAAAGGCAACAAAAAAGACTCAGTAGGTTGTTTCTACAACAGTGTTTGAATTAACCACCCTGAATAGAACATCCCAGGGCCCTTTGCTTTCCACCACAGCCTCCTGGACTTTCAGTCAGAGAAAATGCACCCACCTTTGCAAGAAGCGGCTTTTACAGCAATAGATGCTGAGGCAACATGCTGAGTAAGAGCATTAGCTACCTAAGGATACAAAGGATTACAATCTTGAGAAACCTTGTTTCCCCATCAGTAATCTGATCATTGGTAAGGAGCATGCATCACATTATGATAATGAAGGCAATTTTGGAAGAAGATGAAGTGCCCTAGAGAAACCCACCAGAAACAGTCATGTTCAGCCTCTGAAGGAGGTGGTAGAAGAACAGACAGTCTTGGATGGCAACAGCTCACATATGCATCTGCTAGGCACCCAGAGGTGGAGATCCTGCCCAGAGCACCAGCTTAAAGGCTCACATGCCCTCTCTGTGGCTGAGAAACACTGCCTGATCAACAGCTTGCTGGGCACAGTGGTATAAATAAGCCTTGTGTCATGGGAGTCAGGTTACAGCCTATGCAGCAAGTAACCTGCAACAGCGAGCAGAATCCTTGCTCAACAGCACAGAGCAAAGCCTTTCGCTCCAAGGGGCAGGCTCTGGCCAGATCAGAGAGAAGCTAAGCAGATGGTTCTGTATAAACTATGCTTCTGACAAAGGCAGAGTTTTAAGCAGTCATCTAAGATTGCTTACTAGTAGTTTTGGGGTTTTTTTTAATTTTAATTTAAGTGAAATGCTCATTTCAACACCACATGTCCTCCTTGCAGTTCTGCTACTGGAGTGGTCTACCCACTGCATTTCTCCTGTCTAATATTGCAGCAGGACTTCAAGATATGAAACTGCAGGGACACATTCAGGACAGAGGGTGGTGAAGAAGCTCTAAGGTAACACAGCTGTCTGGGGCTGTAAAATCTCTCCTCCCTGCACTGCTGGTTTCTTACAGTGCATCCAGGCTCCCATTAGTCAAGAGTACTGCTGAAGCCAGATGCAGATTGGCAGCTTAAAGGCTCCTCCACTTACCCAGAGTCTCCAAGGATGATGACTTTCAGTAACACTTTCTTCCTAGAAGTCATCTTTTACACTAGAAAGGAAGAGGAACAATCCCATCAGACACCATTAGCATGTCATTCCTCAAGGCAGAAAGAAGCAAGTTTGGAGTCCAAGAAACCTGACTCCCAGCAAGGAACCAGGGACAGGCAGGGCCCGGCACTCCTGAAGCCAGACTCCTTCAATTCAAGGCTACACTTGAGCACTAACCAGGTGTTTGCCCATTTCATAGGCACGGCCATGTCAGACCAGTAGTGGCAACCAACAAGCAGATGAGCCAAGCACTTGTCCTTTACAGTACCTGGTCCATTCTAGACCCTACTTCCAGACCATCTCCCTTCGTCTCACTGGAGGCAGTGCAGTAAAGTATATCAGCTCCCAGCACAGGCTAATTCTTACACATGCTACTGAGTGAAATGCAAGTAGAGATACGTCTAATACCACACTCAAGCTTTTTTATGCTGTTCAGTAGTTTCCCAGTAGAAAAAAAAAAAGGGCTTCTTCCACCTTTCAGGTTCAGCTGATGGCTGTACTTTGTGAAAGTGTCAAGTCCCAAGGATACACTGTGGTTGAAGCAGTCGCAACAAAACCACATAGGCCACCTGAGCAGCTGAACTGCAAGGCAAACTGCTGCCAGACTCCACAGCTTTGCCAAGAGCATGTGAAGCTAACTACTGCCACCTCACCCTCGCTGGAAGGACAAGTAAGGCTACAGTGACAAACCTCACAAACCTCTGTTAGACCGAGGAATTGTTTGTTCAGTTGCATCCTGCCATGACTCTAGTCCACTTCATAGGCAGGTGGCTCTAAATGGGCCAATTAGTAAGAGTGAGAGTTGAGCTCCAGAAAGCCACATTCTTAATTTTTCCCAGGTCTCCTTCAGATTAGTGAAGCAGCTAGAAGTACATCAGCTGCAGCAGGCCTGAATACACTTCTGGATGTGCTTTAGCATAGTGAAAGCAAGTACAAAGTCTTACTATTAGTGGTTGAGCATGCCCATCCCACCATGAGAGGCCCTTCTCCCCCCTCTGGGAAGGGGATGGGACAAACCATTCTTAGGTGCTCAGCCTTGATCAGGTCACAGACCCAGGTACTGACCTGGTCCACAACAGCCTCCTTGGCTTTCCCTGAGGAGCCCTGCAGGTTCTAAACAGCAAGAGGAGCCAGAAGATGGCTATAGCTGTGCTACTTGAGTTCAAAGACCCTTGACTACAGGCTTCATGTATTAAGCCCTTATATGGGTACTTCGTTACCCTAAATTCCCATCCTGCTACACCACATTCATTGTATCACACAACTCCTACTCTTGAGGATCTATTCCCGACTTTCATCACTAAGGAGGCCTTCACTTCCACAACATGGATATATGCATCTTCTGAGCAACTTGGTCCTATGCGTTTCCTGGGATGTGCAACAGCCTCAGCTGCCAGATAACTGCAACCTGCTTCACCCCACTATTACAGGGGGTAACATGCTCCAAGCTGTAGGAGCCTGCAGAATCCAGCTGCAAAAGGTCTTAATCATCTCAGACTTTGAGTGTTAAAAGACATGCAGTCTTTTAGACTTTGCCATCAGTGACTTTGCCATCAGTGAATGCTGCAGAAGCTGAAGCAGCCCTCCCGCAGCTGCCATGGGTAGTGGTGCACTTACAGCTACACCTTGTTGGACTGCACCAACCTCATGCACCTTGTGATATATCTAGGTGGGAAACACTGTTGAAAGGTAACAGCCAGAGGCTGTTGAGTGAACAGCAATGACAGGCCACCTACAGAGCTCATGTCCTTAGATGGGTGTTAACACATGCCAGAGCGCCTGCAAGGACAGTTTTGCCGAGTGTAAACACCTCTCCTTTCCTATCTACGCTGGGCTGCATTGCTCAATGATCCAACTGGCAGCCCAGCTATACTAGCCAAGGTACAGCCAGCTGAAAGTTGTCAACAACCCCAACATTTAGTCCTGCTTCTGCTCTTGCCAAGATCCACACTCTATATAGCTCATCTCCTCTACAGCCATCGGGAGAACAGACCATGTAAGCTCCTTCAAGCAGACTGCACCTCCTGTGTTTTCAAAGCACATAGCACAAGTGACACTTGTGCTAGCCAAGCCAGAGACTTCTGCAGCACAATCAACCCAGATGGAGCAAGAAGCAAGCAAGCAGAGCTTTGAAACAGCTTAAAGACAGTGTGTACACTGAACTGTCATGGAAAACATCTGTATAGGTTCAGGTCCAGTGTGAGAGTCACCTGTTTTCCTCAGGACAGAGGAAAACAACTCACCCCAAAGTGACTGTGCCAGAACCCAGCATGTACTGTGCTTCTATTTTCCTATGAGTGTTTTCGGTGCCGCTTGCCACTGGCTGGTGCAGCTCACTGCTTCCTGGTATTTGAAGGAGCTTTGGACAAGCTGGCATTAGTTCTCATGCTCAGGGAAGGATTTACAAAGCCCTAAATTACAACACTAAATCACACTGGATGCTTAGCACCCAAGTTCAACACAGCCTGAAGTCCCACTATGAAGGGAGGGGAAACTTCCCTGTCAACTCTCATTACCTTGGAAGTAGCTCAGCTGAGCAGCCACCTGCAGACACAGGAGGGACATCTGAGTCAGGCCTGATACTGCCTTCTTGTCATCACTGACGCACTGCCCCATCAGTGTGAAAGGCTATTACTGCCTCAGGAACACTGATCAGGTGAGACAGCTTCCATCCCAGGTGATGGAACGGATATGAACCATAGCACAGAAGGAGCTGCCTCAGTTTGGTATTTGGCTTGGGCCACAAGACAGTGAGGAACTCCAGTCCTACCAGAAGCCAGCAGTGGACACTACCCAGAGTTTCCCACACCTATTTCTACTAGTCTTGATCAATGCTGCTTTGAAGCCCACTCAGTGGACGGGCCAAGCCCTCTTAATAGTCTTCTCATTAAAGGTATAAACAGACCAGCACTTCAGAGTTATTCCTTGCCCAGTACAAGAAGGGACCTTGCCTTTGGAGAGGAGACCTTATCTCCAGGTCTCAGAGGAAGTACCAGTGTTTGATCTCCTGGAGCCTTCCTACCGAATGAAACCCCTCTATGTTTAAGTAGCATCAAGTCTCATTCTTTTCACATTCTGTGTAGCTGAGCAGGTCTCCAACAGCAGCTCCAGCTTTAAAGCAGCTATTTGTGCTAAACAGAGGTCTGACTGATCTCAGTGAGATTTTCAATCTATATGGATTGAAGACATCCCCGTTATCTTAACTAGGGTTTCTTATGAGGCAACCCAAAGGGTCAAACTACCCCAAGGAGGATATCATGTCTCCTCCAACATTTACTTCCAGCCACAGTGTTTTTAATTGGAAGCGAAAGACACTAGCGCACTCTGAAGGCCCTGTAAGCTAAGCTTTACTACAGTCTCCTTAACACCATGCAAAGGATTTTAGTGACTTCAGCTCATACGAAGCCAACAGCAAATACAACATCTTCATGGCAGAGGATGCTTCTACACATTGCAGTTCAAGGAAGCTCAGAAATACCTCTGTTGATCCTGGTTACTGCATGCCATTTGCTGTGTCAGTAGAATAAGGCACAACCAACCAACCCTGGGCCAGGTTCAGTACTCTTGCCTGAAGTCAGAGGCAGCTTATGATTATTCCCTTGTTAACACAGGCTGTTTCTCACATTACACAGCATTAGAGTAGGTTCGTTACTGTCTTGTGTCCCAGAAACAGAGCCCACATACATGCTAAGCTACACAGATATCACTTCTGGTGAGCCTTACTAGTACAAAATCAACTAAGGGAGACCAAGAAGAATATAGCTTTGGCTCACAGATGAAGCAGGTTTGAATACCTGAAGGAGCAGTTAGTTCACATGAGGAGTTTCTCCAGTCACACTTGCAAGACATTAAATTACTGAGCTAATCCGAGATGTAGGCTGTGCAGGGTTTCCCTCATGTTCTTGCAAAGAGCAAGCTCATCTTGAGTTGAGATCAAAACTCTGATAGTGCTGAGTCAGTGGTGTCCAAGTCTAAGACTATTTTGCACTATACATGCAGCTTGTCTTGCTTTATGATATTTGATATAATTACCCTAGAGCTGCATCCTGTAAGAGTCACATAAGCCCTTAAGATGGCAGTGTGCGAGCTAACACAGGACTCGCATCCAGTCCCAGGAGCGTTTATGAACAAACACTTTCTTTCAGAGATATCAGGAAGAAAAACCTGTTTGTTAAGATTTGATCCAAGACATCAGTTCTGGTTTACACTTGAAGTCTCTTGGAGTGAGGTCACCTGCATGACTGCTCAGAGCACAGTCTACCAGCACACCCACCTAGCCCTGCTCAGGAGACATCAGAAACTTCCATCAATCAGAAGACCAGTCAGCATCATTCCTCCTCCTGGCTTAACTGGTGCCAAAGGAATGACACAGCTGCCTATAATAGAGGAGTCATTCCAGTACCCCTCTAAGCAAACAAGTCATTAACAGTACATTGACCCTCACAAGATTAAGGCTGGTATAGCATACTGTCTCCCACAATAGTGTTACTACCTTTGTAAGGCTGGCCTGCCAGAGCAGCAAGGAAGAACCCCAAACATCTGACCTGGAAGTGTTACTGGCTTAGCCAGTCTGAAAGGAAGAGTCAAAACCTGTCCTATGAAGCTCCATAGTGCTACAGCTCCCCAGATGCAAAAGCAAATAAAGTCTATGCCAAATCTAATTAGGCTTCCCTTGTTGTTTCAGAGTACATTACAACTGTCCTTTCGCTTGCTATATTAAGACAGCTGCTTTAACTCAAAGCAGAAATGGGTGGTTAAGGATTCCTTAGAGGTGTTCACATGTGTCAAGTCACAATGCAGGTATTTTAATATTAATTAGGTTGGTACAAGCAAAGAACAGTAGGAGCTTGCATGATGGCCCACCAGATCTCTTAGATTAGCCATCCTTTAACAGGGTGTTCCTATCACAATGTCTACTTGTGTTAAGTTGCTCATGGACAGTTTTAGTATGAAAGTAGCTAGCCTTGGGGAGGGGGAAATCTCACCTCCACAGAGGACAACAGCTCCTTAAGCAGCAGCATATC